TTAGTAGAGACGGGGTTTCACCATGTTGACCAGGATGGTCTCGATCTCTTGACCTCGTGATCCACCCGCCTCGGCCTCCCAAAGTGCTGGGATTACAGGCTTGAGCCACCGCGCCCGGCCTACTTTATTCTTAAATACACAGATTAAGGCTTACTCAGTTTATTTTATGACACATTGATTAATTGCAACCTGCAGTTTATGAAATGCATAAAGGATAAATGTAGTGACACAAATCCAGGAGATGGGTAGCATTATCAGATATTGGGAAGTGTTTAGTTGTCAATGGGGAATGAGATGGTGGAATGAAGAATGTGCTGATGTTTCTGGCCCAGACATCCAGGTGGATAGGCAAGCCATTTATCAAGATGAAGTAATAAAACAGGAGAGGGCTCTATTTTAGAGAGTTGAGATTAAATTTACTTTTGCACACATTGAGTTTGAGATATCTATGTGATATCCAGGTGGACATTTCTGATATGCAGAAAGAAATACTTATTTGGAATCCAAGAGAGAGATGGGAGATGGAGCTGTGAATTTGTTACTCATTAGTGGATAGGTAGAAGTTTTCAAATCAATTTTACTCATTTTTTAGTTTATCACATCAATTCAGCTGACAAATGCTATTCTACTACCCATCAGACTGGATCAAGTAAAAATAGGCACTGTGCTAATTAGGCTAAATCTTTTCTTTTTGTTTTAGATAGAGTTTCTGTCACCCAGGCTGGAGTGCAGTGGCATGATCTCAGCTCACTGCAACCTCCGTCTCCTGGATTCAAGCAATTCTCTTGCTTCAGCCTCTGGAGTAGCTGGGATTATAGGCACATACCACCAGGCCTAGCTAGTTTTTGTATTTTTTTTAGTAGAGACAGGGTTTCACCATGTTGGCCAGGCTGGTCTCGAACTCCTGACCTCAGGCGATCCACCCACCTCTACCTCCCAAAGTGTTGGGATTACAGGCATGAGCCACCATGCCCAACCTAAATCTTTTCTTTAAGGAAAATAAAACGTCAATGGCTGCCATATCATCTAAAACCTATCAGTTCTGATTCTGTAGAATCAAGATGTTATATAGATATGAGTTAAGTAAACGAGGGTGGGCTAGTTCCTAAGAGGCAAATATGATCAGGTTGCTGGCACTAAACTAAATCCGTACAGTTGTAAGTCTGCCCCATCATCTGCTGCCAGCCACACTTAGGCTTCTTTGTAGGGCATTTAGAAATTTTATAGCCAGAGGAAGGCAGCATGAAGAGATGATAAGGGAACTTATGGCTGAAGAAATTAAAGGTTTGGATCCTGAAAAAACTCAGGGCATTACCCTCAAATAGCTAAATGACTGTCACATGTGGGAGATTTGGGGCCTTTTTTTGGATGACAGTAGCAAGCTGTATTAGGGTTCTCTAGAGGGATGGAACTAATAGAATACATATATATATATATATATATATATATATATATATATATATATATATGAGTTTATTAAGTATTAATTCACATGATCACAAGGTCTCACAATAGGCTGTCTGCAAGCTGAGGAGCAAGGAGAGCCAGTCTGAGTCCCCAAATTGAAGAACTTGGGAGTCTGATGTTCCAGGGCAGGAAGCATCCAGCACAGGAGAAAGATGTAGTCTGGGAGGCTAGGATCGTCTAATCTTTTCACGTTTTTCTGCCTGTTTTATATTCTAGCCTTGCTGGCAGCTGATTAGATGGTGCCCACCCAGATTAAGGGTGGGCCTGCCTTTTTCAACCCACTGACTCAAATGGTAATCTCTTTTGGCAATACGTTCACAGACGCCCGGGATCAATACTTTGCATCCTTCAATCCAATCAAGTTGACACTCAGCATTAATCATCACACAAGCTATGTAAGTCCAGCGAGAAGTTGGAGGTAGAGGTTGTATCTTATTCATCTTTGTGTTTCCAGCATGTAGTAGAGTCTGGATCACATCAGAGGCTCAGCATATGCTCATAAAGTTGAACCACATTGAACTTGAGTTCACACTGAAAAGCTCTCAGCGGCACTCAAAGCTACCTGACAAGAGAAAGAGCTGCTTATACAGTGGTTTCCTTGTTGGGTTGTTCAGACATGTTGGACAGCCATTCATGGGATATTGTCATAGAAGGGATTTAAGTATTGGACTAAATCCCATTGTCTTAAAAGCTTCCTTTAACCTTAACATCTGTGATCCAGTAACAATATGGAAGATAATGGATCTATTATTTGAGTGTTTGTTGGCTGTAATAGGGAGAAATAAAATAATGATCACAGTAGCAATCAAATGTTGAGTGCCCCCTATGTGCCAGACACTATTGCTGAATAATATATATCAAGGAGCAGCAAGCTATGGCCTGTGGGCCAGCCTGTGGCCTCTTTTTGTGACTTTTTATTGGAACATAACCATATTCACATTGTCTGTGACTGCTTTTGTGCTACAGGGGCAGAATTGAGTAGTTTTGACGGAGACTGTAAGACCTGCAAAGTATAAAGTATTTACTATTTGAACCTTCACAGAAAAAGTTTGCTGACCCCTGATTTAGGTAAGTATAACAACTCTGCATATTATACATATTAACTCATTAATCTTTACATTAACTCTGCAAGATAGATGGTGTCCTTTTTTTTTTTTTTTTTTGAGACAAACTCTCTTTCTGTTACGAAGGCTGGAGTGCAGTCACAGGATCTTGGCTCACTGCAACCTCCGCCTCCTGGGTTCAAGCAATTCCCCTGCCTCAGCCTCCTGAGTAGCTGGGACCACAGGCACGTGCCACCACACTTGGCTAATTTTCTGTATTTTCAGTAGAGATGGGGTTTCATCATGTTAGCCAGGATGGCTTAATCTTCTGACCTCATAATCTGCCTGCCTCAGCCTCCCAAACTGCTGGGATTACAGACATGAGACACCATGCCTTGCCTGGTGTTCCTTTTTACCGAAGAGGAAGCTCAAGCTCATGGAGGCAAAGTAATAACTCTCAAGGTCAAAGAACTTATAAGTGGTTTGGATTGGAACCAGGTATGGGAAGCTCCAAAGTCCATGTTCTTTTTTTATACTAGAAATAGAAGTTTTACCTCTCCTGAAATCGTACCATATATGAAAGCATGATTATATATATTTATTAAGACATTGCCTTTTATAGCAGCAATCTTATACAGCTGTTTAAGTATAGGAAAACTTCACCAATACAGACCAGATTACTGTGTATTTACTGCAGTTGAGAGTTATGTGATTCTTTTTTTTTTTTTTTTGAGACGGAGTTTCGCTTTTGTTACCCAGGCTGGAGTGCAATGGCGCGATCTCGGCTCACCGCAACCTCCGCCTCCTGGGTTCAGGCAATTCTCCTGCCTCAGCCTCCTGAGTAGCTGGGATTACAAGCACGCGCCACAATGCCCAGCTGAATTTTTGTATTTTTAGTGGAGACGGGGTTTCACCATGTTGACCAGGATGGTCTCCATCTCTTGACCTCGTGATCCACCCGCCTCGGCCTCCCAAAGTGCTGGGATTACAGGCGTGAGCCACCGCGCCCGGCCTAGTTATGTGATTCTTATTTGTAAAAGTAAGAAGTTCAAAGTGTTTTCCTCTGAATAAGGATATAGTCTACCAAGAAAATAATCAAGACTTTCAGCTTCTAGGTTCCACTGTAATTTCATGCATTTTAAAGAACTTTCTGTTGTTGTTATGTAATATAGGACCTACAGCATTACGTAATTTAAAAAAGAAAACTTTATTCTTTGCAATGATTTATAATTAAATATTTATTAATAGTTGCGAGACTAATCTCTTTACAAACTAGAGAGATTTGTGATAGTCTTAAAAAATGATGTAATTTAAGTATATATGAATTAATTGATTTAGATTGTCCCATAAGTTTCCTGAAGAAAAATATAAAACTTTTCCAATTCTTTCCCTCTTCTCTGAAGAGAGAAGATATGCTTCTATTCATTATTTTCTTTTCAGTAGATTTGGGATCACACTATGTTGGCCAAGCTGGTCTCGAACTCCTGGCCTCAAGTGATCCTCCCATGTCAAAATGCTAGGATTACAGTTGTGAGGTACTGAGCCCAGTCCTGATGATTTACTGATAATTATTATTGACTCTGAGATATGTATATATATATTTGAATAAAGACCCTGGGACCCTTCTGCAAACAAAATGGTAAAGCTGCACTGAAGAGCAGATTTAGCAGAGAGTAGCAGAAAGCACCGCACAAGGGGTCTGAAGACTTAACTTCTAGTTCTGACTCCCACTTACTATCTATAAAATCTCAGATATCTAAAATCTCCTTAGGAGAGCTCACCTCTCTCCTAACCATCAATTTTCTCATATTCATAATGGAATAATAATAATATCCTGTCAAATAAGATAGTAGATACAATGATCTTTTAGAAACCATGAAGACAAAAATAATCAAGACATCTGGATATCAGGTGGTGGTATTAGTAGTTTTGTTGTTGTGGGTTTATTTGTATTACACAACAGATCTGGGGTGCCCGTTGCCAAGTGTGGGGGCAGAGCCAACTGCAATAAATGTCGAGTGTGCCTCTCTGATAGACTGTGGTACAGACACAGATGCGATGTCACTGCTCTTTTCCTAGGTAGATGTATTCTAGCCGGGGCCTTTTCTGGCTGGCCCAATACTCATCAAGCAGGCTCCACATCAGGATTTGGAGTGAACCTTGGCAGAGATTCAACTTGTTTCTGAGTTAAAGGAATTGAAAGAAGCTGTGGGAAAGGTATGAGAGACTCTGGAAAATGGATTGAAATGAAGGTACTGTGATATTAAGTCCTGTGTTCATTGGTATTCCTAGAGTATTGGAGTATTGTTTTGGAGTGTAAGGTGTTGTGACGCACCTTTCTTTGGAGAGTAAGTTTATTGCAAGAACTGCCTTTCACAGAATTCCTGTTCACTACCATGGCAAAATGTCCTATCCCCACTGCCACGTCTAACAGTATTTGGAGTAATCAAACAGTAAGCAAGAGGCTGAAGGTTAATGTATTAAAATGATGTGATTCAGTGCCTTCGATGTTTCCGACTCTGTAATGAGGCATCTAGAGCACATACTATAAGCAGGAGGGTGAGATGATGGCGATGGTTAACATGCAAGTGTGAACTGCTGAACCCTGAGAAGGTTTGTTTATTCTGGCATCAATAGGGATACAGATCCTCAGAACCCAGGTGACTTGATGATGTTGTTGGGAAAATAGTAAGAAGCTAAGGAAACTTCAAAGAAAATGGATTAGACAGGAAATTGTGACTGGAATGCAGAGAATGTAGGATAGTGGAGATTGGAAGGACCTCAGAATAAGGACCTGAAAGAAAGAGCACAAGCCTGCTCTAGGAAAACCTGATGGCCAGGTAGTGGCTACACAGGTATCTGGTTCAACCAGATGTCAAAAGGCAGAGTACCTCCTATACAAATAGAGGATCCAGCACCATCAACGTTCAGAGTGGTTCTGTATCAGTCTTGGATCTTCAGATAAACTGCAGCAAGAAGCCTTACCCCTATGCAGGAGGGCCTAGGGGAAGAGTTCATGCCCCTGACAGGTGAATAGTTTGAGGTGTCTGGAAGGTCTGGTCTGGGCTTTAACCTGGTGCTTGTTAAAGGATCCCACCTTTAACAAGCACCAGGTTAAAGCCCAGACCAGAGCTTCGAGGTCCCCAAAACTGTCATCTCTAGAAATGAGTTTGATTATAAGGGTCTCAGGGGAGGAGAGGAGCATGTTGAGAGGTGAAAGAATTCAACAGTTACTTGGATGCCCCCCTTAACCCTTGGATGGTCAGCTGTTACCTGAAAGCATTAAAGTAACAGGAGGATCATTTGACTGTGGGTGAATCCTTCCGTTAGTCCTGTACTTTTTGTGCCTTGGGAGCTATCTGCCCTCGGACTGATGTTTGAGGAGTATGGAAACAGAATGACAGGGTGAGGAGAACGAAATGTCAAAACTGGGTGTAATGCTGGCTCTCCCTTGTTAGACACATGACCTTGAGGAAGTCGCTGTATCCTTCTAATTGCTTTAGTTTCATTGATGTGAAACTAATGCCTGTAAGACAATAATTTTATAAAGAAGAAGTTAGAATGTCTAGAAATGTCCTGAATTAATGTATATGAGTCATAGAATTTTGCACAAAATGGATGTTTTAAAAAATGCACTGGGAGCTGGCTTAACATCTAAAAATAAGTTAATGTAATGTACCACTTTAAGAGAATAAGAGACAAAAAAACCCCTACATGATCATTTCGATAGATGCGGAAAAGAATTGACAGAGTCCAACACCCTTCTGTGATAAAAATAATCAACAAACAAGGAATAGGTGGGAACTTCCTCAACCTGAAAACCCAAAGTTAGGATCATACTTCATGGTGAAAGATTGGATGCTTTTACTCTATGATCAAGTACAATACAAGGATGTCTGCTCCTGCCACTTCTGTTTAACATTGTACTAGAAGATCTAGCCAGGGCAATTAAGCTAGAAAAAGAAATAAAAGTGATCCATATTGAAAAGAAGAAATAAAACTATCTCTATTTGCAGATGACATGATCTTGTATATATAAAACACTAAGGAATACACACATACCAAAACAAAAAAACTGTTAGAACTAATAAGTTTAGCAAAGTTGTGGTATTTAAGGTCAATATATAAAAATGAATTTTGTTTCTATACACTAACAATGAGTAATCTGAAAATGAAATTTTAAAAAACAAGAAAGAAAAATACTTAGGAAAAAAGTTTAACACATGTACAGTGAAAACTACAAAACATCACTGAAAGAAATAACTCAATAAATGGAAAGACATCCCATGTTCATGGATTGGAAAACATACTATTGTTAAGATGGCAGTGCTGTCCAAACTGATCTACAGATTCAGTGCAATCCCTATCAAAATCCCAGCTGTGTATTGTTGTTGTTTTTAACAGAAATTGACAAGCTGATTCTAAAATTAATATGAAAATGCAAGGACCCACAATAACCAAAACAATCTTGAAAAGGAACAAAGTTGTTGGAGGACTGACACTTCTCAGTTTTAAAATTCACTACAAAGCTACAGTAGTAAAGATGGTGTAGTACTGGCATAAGGTTATGCATATAAGAGCAAGAGAACATAATTGGTAGTCCAAATACAAACACATTATAATTTTATTATTGTTTTAGTTCTCTCATAATAACCACAAATGTAGTGGTTTAAGACACAGATTTATTATCTTACAATTCTATAGGTCCAAGGCCTATCACAGGTCCCACCAGGTCAAAATTAAGGCACTGACAGGGCTGCATTCCTTTCTGTAGACTTCTTGCTTTTTTCAAATTCTAGAAGCAGCCTACATTCTTTGGGTCATTGTTCCCTTCCTCTACTTTCTTTTTTTATTTTTTTAAATTATTATTATTTTTTTAAAGACAGGGTTTCCCCATGTTGGTCAGGCTAGTCTTGAACTCCCAACCTCAGGTGATCCGCCTGCCTTGGCCTCCAAAGTGCTTGGATTACAGGCGTGAGCCACCACGCCTGGCCCTCCCTTCCTCTATTTTCAAAGCTAAGAGAGGCAAGTCAAGTCTTTCTCACATCACATCACTCTGACTTTTTCCATAGTCACATTTCCTCTGACTCTGAATTCTTCTGCCTCTCTCTTTCACTTTTAGTGATGCTTGTGATTACATTGAGCTCATTCAGATACTGCAGGATTATTTTCCCATATTAAGGTGGGCTAACTGGCAACCTTGGTTCCATCTGCAACCTTACATGTAACATATTGTATCTGTAGATTCCACGAATTAGGATGTTGTATGTGTGTAGGGAGTCACATTCTTCTGATCATTACCCCAATGGCCAATTAAGTTTTGACCAAGATGCCAGGACAATTCAATAGGGAAGGAATAGTCTTTTTAATAAGTGGTGCTAGAACAATTGGATATACATATGTTAAAAAAAAAAAAAAATGAAGTTGGATTCCCTAACTCATACCACATATAAAAACTCAAAATGGATCAGGGACCTAAATGTAAGAACTAAAATGATAATAATTCTTAGAAGAAAATGTAGGAGTAAATGTGACCTAGGCAATGGTTTCTTAGATATGCTACCAAAGGCACAAGCAACAAAAGAAAAAAGTTATGCATTGGACTTCACCAAAATTTAAAAAAAACTTTTTGTTTCAAGGGACACCATCAAGAAAGTGAAAAGACAACCTACAGAAAGGAAGAGAGTATTTGCAAAAACTTATTATCAATTTGCAAAAAGACTTGTATCCAAAATATAAAAGAATTCTTAAAACTCAACAATAAGAAAGCCCAATTTAAAAATGGGCGAAAGGTCTAAACAGAAAAAAATAAAAATAAAAAATAAAAATGGGCAAAAGGTCTAAACAGATGCCTCACCAAAGAAGATATACATACAGCAAATAAACATATGACAAGATGCAACATCATTTGTCATTAGAGAATTTCAAATTAAGAGATACCACTACACACACACACACACACACACACACACACACACACACACACACACCCTCCCCCCACCCAAACGAATAGCAAATGCTGACGAGAATGTGGAGAAGCAGGACCTCTCTCATTGCTAGCCAATACCAAATCTTACATCCACTTTGGAAGACAGTTTGACAGTGTCTTACAAAATTAAACATAATCTTACCATATAACCCAGTAATTATGCTCCTAGGTCTTTACTCAATTCGTTTGAAAATGTAGGTCCACACAAAAACCTGCATATGAATGCTTAGAGCAGCAATTTATAATTGCTAAAAATTGGAAGCAACCAAATGTCCTTCAGTAGGTGAATGGATAAACAAATTGTGGTACATTTATGCAAAGGAATATTATTCAGCAGTGAAAAAAATGGGCTATCAAGCCATAAAAAGATATGGAGGAAACTGAAATGTATATTTCTAAGCTCCTTCTCTTCCTCCTTTGAGATAGGGTCTTCCTATGTTGTCCCATGATCAGCCAGTTGATCCAGTACCATTTATTGAATATTAATTTCTTCTTCCTCTTCCTCCTCTTTCTCCTTCTCATCCTCCTCCAAGATGGGGTCTTGCTATATTGCCCAGGCTGATCTTGCACTCCTGGGCTTGAGTGATCCTCTTGCCTCAGCCTTTCAAATAGCTGAGACTACAGGTGCATGCCATGGCACCTAGCTTATTCATTCTTGACTCACTTCTAACTTCATTTAGCTCAGGTATTCAGTCAACATTTATTGAATTTGAACTTCACACTTTGTGCTTGGTGGTATATGGAAAAGAAAACACATATCATCCTGCCCTCAAGATGCTTAGGGCCCTAGTGAAAAGCACACCGGGTGGCACTAAGATGCATACAAGATTATATATAAGATTTCTTGGTGTGTCCTTTCTACACAATCCTCACTGGAAGCCACCTGTTTCTCACAGCATATGAGAAGGGTCTGGCATATGACCTCTTTTTCCTACTGTGAGACATAGTAGAATTCTCTAAGACCAGCTGTGGTGTTGAATCACTGCCTATGAGGCTGTGCACATTAGTGGGAAAAGCACTAGATTTTGGAACTCAAGCAATTGGACTCCAGGCCTGGAATACCTTGGGTAAGGCACTGCTTATTTGCAGGTTCGGTTCTGTATACATGCAAACATACACACACCTAATTTAGGATTCCTCATAGCTGACACCACAAATGACATCTCTCCACCTTTTTAGAAAGGTGGAGAGCTTACCTATTTAACAAACCTGCACAGTTACCCTGAACCTAAAATAAAAGTTAAA